CATTAGAAATTATGAGCATTTTTAGTAAAGTATTGAGACATCAAGAGCAAGAGGTATTGCTATAAAAAATTAGTAAGAATGACAAAATTTAACATTAGTTGGCCACAAGTATAAACTGGTGGAGTCTTTCTGAAAACAAATATAGAGATGTTTCCATCAGTCTTACATGTTTAAGGATGAATAGGTCTCACTTAATCCAGAACACTGTCAGCCATTGCTCTGAATCAGCATTTTCCCCCTTAAGTGTCCATTTGGAGACTTAAAGAAAGTAGAACTCACTCAAACTTTTCTTTTCTCATCCACTTATTGCTGCTTTCTTCCAGCAATAATAAAAGCTGTTGATGATTCTTCCCTCAGAACTGTCTGAGAAAACATAGCAGAAATACAATAAATATGTTGATTGGCATTTTTATTATGTAGATGTTTTATATAAGGTGACAAATATTTTTCTTTTATGTGCTTTAGAACTCATAAAATATGATTCAAAACACTTTTAAAAAATCTCTGTAAAATTTAAGCACACATCTCCAAAATCACTCTGAAAATGTATAAATACAGAGTTGACAGACTGCAATTATTTACAAGTCACACACACATATTGACAAAGCCTGGGAGGAGCTGGGTGATCTGGCAAGATCGCTGAACCTTTCTTGTGTTTTAATTTCCACCAGCAGTGTAATAATGTTTTTATACAAAAAATATAGTTTAAAAATTCCTGCAAATAGCTCAATCTAATTATGTCCCTGATGATCTAATTAAATGTTAAATTTTCAGTTATTAAAAACCCACATCTTTCTTTAAAAGAAAATGTTTTAATTAATTGCTGTATATTTTTTATGTTTTATATATGCTATATATTACAAATTAATCACTCTCTTCGTATTAGCTATTTAAGTATTTCTAATTTTCCTATTATACTAATCCTTCAATTAACATCTTTTAAAAGTCAATTTTTGTTCAAGCTTCTCTTTTATGTCTCAACATTAGATTTTTATTTCCCTGGTCTTTACAATGGAAGACAGGAAGGGCACTCTATTAAAACTGAAAGAAGTAAAGATGCCTGTCAAACAATGCAAAATTTATACATTTCCACCCCTTTCTGTCCTTCCCCACCACTGCCATCTCCACATAAGTGTGATCCGTTTCAGTGTGTCCAAGTTTCTGATAATTTCTTAGGATACAATCCGAGACAGGGGAATTACTGAGTAAATTAGAAATTATAGAAACATGAAAGGAAATTATTGGTGGCAAAATAGAAAAATTCAAATCCTATATATATGGAAATAAGAAACATTTACATCAAAGAAAACAAAGATAAAAAGAAAGTCAATGGAATGGGGTAATGCTTGCCATTAGTATGTCAGAGGGAAGTCTGGTATCTAAAATGTAGAGAACTGCTGATAAATTTTTTTGGACAGTAACTAGGATCTAGTGGATGAATAAATATTGGCAGAGGAGAAAAACGAGAGCTGGAGGGAAAGGAACTTGCCCACCTTCTGAAGGAAAGTAGACTGTGAAGAGCGTGCTGAGTCTGTGTGCTTGATTGTGCCATCTTGCACTCTCTCTTATTCAGGGTGATGAGTATTTTGTACACGAGGTTTAGATCTCGTGAGTAAACATAAAGTGTGATGTGCACTGATAGAGAATATATGCAGGAAATGGGATGGAATGGAGCAGGGTGCTGGAATATGTATATATAGTGTGGTGTGCACTGATAGAGAATATATACAGGAAATGGGATGGAATTGATCAGGGTGCTGGAATATATATAGTGTGATGTGCACTGATAGAGAGTATATGCAGGAAATGGGATGGAATGGAGCAGGGTGCTGGAATAAATATATATAGTGTGATGTACACTGATAGAGAATATATACAGGAAATGGGATGGAATGGAGCAGGGTGCTGGAATATATATATAGTGTGATGCGCACTGGTAGAGAATATATGCAGGAAATGGGATGGAATGGAGCAGGGTGCTGGAATATATCTTTAAAGTGGTTTTACTGTACCAGAGGATATGATTGTGTTTGCGACTCTGATAAAGAAATATTTTGAATGATTTCTTCTTTTGAAAGACAGCGTGCTCATTACCATTGCCTTGTCACTCTTGCTAATTTTTGTTAGTGTTTCCTTCTAGTCATTTCCCAAGTATTTCTTTTTGGCTAAATTAGTTGTTTATCTGTATAAAGCTAAGGGGGTTTGTTTTTCGGTGTGGATTTTTTAGCAGGTCTTCCTAATACGGGAAGGAATTTAATAGTGAATTTTTAAAGTAAAGGCCTAGCGCCCATAGGCGTATTTTAATGTGTGAATTCTTTATTAAATATGTCATAAATATTGATGAGGTGGTGTGTTAGTCTTATTTATTTATTATTTAATTTTTTAAATTATTTTTTAAAATTTTTATTGAGTTAATGATGGGTTACAGTCTTGTGAAATTTCATTTGTACATCCTTGTTTGTCAGTCGTGTTGTAGGTGCACCCCTTCACCCTTTGAGCCCACCCCCCACCCCCCACCCCCCACCCCCCTTTCCCCTGGTAGCCACTAATCTGTTCTCTTTGTCCACAGGTTTAAATTCCTCATAGGAGTGGAGTCATACAGAGATTGTCCTTCTCTATCTGGCTTATTTCACTTAACATAACTCCCTCAAGGTCCATCCATGTTGTTGCAAATGGGACGATTTTGTTCTGTTTTATGGCTGAGTAGTTTTCCACTGTATATATATATATATACCACGTCTTCTTTATCCATTCATCTGTTGATGGGCACTTAGGTTGTTTCCATGTCTTGGCTATTGTAAATAATGCTGCAATAAACATTGGGGTGCATAGGACTTTGGGAATTCCTGACTTCAAGCTCTTTGAAGAGATACCCAGTAGTGGGATGGCTGGGTCATATGGCAGTTCACCATTCCCTTTCCTCTTAGATTACTGACAACAATCTTATTGAGAAAAAATGGAATTAAGATTATTATCAGTGTGCTCATTATATTTTTTAAAAATAAGTCTATCAAATCTTTGTCTAGGATTAACTTTTATTAATTGATTTGCATTCAAGTGATTAGGATGATTACAACTAATTATCCAGTCAACTCTTAAAATTTTAATAACATCCCTCTCTTTGGGCATGCTTGGAAAATCTGTCCCTGAATCAATATTACAAAATATCTACATAATTTTCACCACAGAACTTCTACAAATAATTATTCATTCCATTTTGACTATTACAGCTTAGCCTAAAGAATTAAGTAAATATGTATTACTTCACTCCTGCACACCCTTTAAACGCAGCTAACAGACACTGAATAAACCGGCTCATCCCCCGCGGGATCAGGAGTTGCTTGCCCCGTATGCTGTCGCCAGGCTGCAGCCGCCTGAGGGGACTCGTCCGGGGCCCCGCCCTCAGAGCTCACACCCGCCGTGCGCTCTCGCCCCGGGGCCGCCCCGCCGACCTCCCGCGCGGCTCTGCGCGCACAGGCCGGACGCTCGGAGCCGGCGCCGGGCCGCCCTGCTCGGCCTCCTGGGCGCAGCGGCGCCTCTGGACCGAGCACGCGCACCAGCGGCCTCCGCTCAGGCTCCGTGCCCGCGCACGCGCCCTCGCGTCGCGCTCCTGGCTGAGAGACCTGCGCTCGGGCTGGGCTCCGGGCGGTTCTCGCGTTGTCGTTCCACCGGGACTTCCGCGCTTCGGTGGCCTTTCGGACGAGCCGCCGCGCCCAGAGATGTTCAGGTTGGAGCGACACTTCCCAGACGGCAGCGGTCACGCCAGCTCTTTGGCTTCCATTCCGTTTTCGCGCGGTTCTCCCTCTTCGCAAGGTGAGTGGAGCTCGTTTGTGGATGTGTTAGCACAGGATGCGGGAATCCTGTGAAGCGAGTCAATTCGGAGCCCGACGTGAACCAGGAGGGGTGGCGGCGGAAGCGCTCACAGCGTGGAGGCCGGTAGTAGGGACACCAGTCCTCACGGGACTCTCGGGCCTGAACGGCAGAGGACGGTGTGTGTCTGTGGGGACAGACGGGCAGCGTGTGGCGGGGTGTGTGTGAGAGACGCGAGTGAGCGGTGGGATGCGCCTCCGTGCCGTGGGTGTGGCTGTGCTGGGGTGACGGGGATTTGGTGCATGTCCTTCACCTGTGCGGGTGTGATGGCTGTGGCTCTGTGGCGTCACTGTCTGGTGGCTCTGGGCTCCCTGGCGCTTCCTCCTCTTCTCTCCTCACAGCTGCTTGGCTGCAAGAGGGAAGTAGGACATTGAGCCCTAAAGGGAGATTTCCAGCCAGGGGGCACCGAGGTTAGTTTGGGAAAGCCTGGGGAGTTCTCTACTTGGGAGCTGTGAAGGGCAGCTACTGTCTCAGAGCCTCGGGGTTCCCAGAGCTCGGACCCCAGGAACGTGCTGTAAACCTATTCCCGTGGTCCAGGCTCTGTCCTCTTTTCCATCTGTTTATGTGTATGAGCAGGGCGGGTGTGGACCTGGAGAGTGTCGTGTAAGGAAGTCATTCTGTGCCCCAAGAACAGCCTGGTGCCTCCTGACTTCCTCCTCAGTCCTGCCATTCCCAAAAGAAGAACCTTGATGAGGGGAAAGAATTGGTTTACACACAAAAGTCAACATTGAGGATAGTTTTTTTTTCATAAAATCATTGATTTTAACTTATTGGTATAAGAAGAACTTAACAAAACTTTGCAATAATGTCTGATTTTAGTTGTCTTCCCCAAAACATTTCCAAATACTGATTGAAATAGAAGAAAATAAGGAATCATTTTATTTACCCACGTCTTTCTTTGCTGCTTCAGGGCACTGAGAGTCTTACTGATGTTCTCACTTATGAGACGCTTGATCACATCAGCTTCTTTGGGCAGGTTGTGATTCACAAATGTCTCTTTGATTCTGCTGCATTTCGGTGGGAGGGAAATTTCCTCCTCCTCTTTTCTAGAAACTTTTGATTTATGAATTAAAAATGCATTCTCAAGCAAAAGTCCTGATTTTTTTTCCCTTTGTTTTGTGAGCATTATCAGAGCAGGGCTGATAAGCACAATTTTAATCTAAGAATAATTGTTTCTTTTATAATACCCAATTAGAGGGCATGCAATGTTCTTCAGTAAAAATATCTAACATATTTATATAGGATTACAACATGTTATTAAGTTTTTATGTAGATTATATTTCTCCAAGATATTCATGCTTAGTAAGGGATCTTCACACTCTTAGTTTTACTGATGAACAACCCAAGGCATTAAAATGCCATGAACTCTAAGAGCAGTTACATTTAGAAAATCTGAGAACAGAATCTATGTCTTAAGTTTCAACTGGATACTGTTCCCCAGTTATGAGTGCGTATTTTACACTGGGACCAGTATCATCCTGATTAATAATGCTGTACCTGCCATCATATAGCAGAACCAAGTTAATTAACCTGTTCCGTTAGATTTTTGTGTTTCTAGTTTTGGCTGTCATAAGCTAAGTATTGAACATACTTGTACATGCATTTCTTTATCTCAGTATTTTCTTAAGAAATGTCTAGAACTAGAATTTGGGGTCAAATAATCAGATTTTTAGTAAGTGCTTATGATATGCCAGACCATGCCATCTTAGTATTCGGGGTGATAAAAAGACTCAAATGACATAGTTGACACTTTTACGTTCCTTCTGGTACGTAAGGTAAACCCTGAATAGGAATAGATGCATCGAAGGCCACTAGGGAGATTCAGATAATGTGACTTGGTGTTTTAGAAGTCAGTGATGTCATTCTGACTGCAGTCACCACTGTCGGGTTGTGATTAAACTCTGATGACCTATGAGAGCACCGTGATGGTAAGGAATTTATGTTGCAAATTTTTATGTTGCTTTTTAAGTTGAGAGAGATTCATGATCATAAAATTCACCGTTTGTTTTTTGTTTTTTTGGTGAGGAAGATTGGCCCTGAGCTAACACCTGTTGCCAGTCTTCCTCTTTTTGCTTGAGGAAGAGTGGCCCTGAGCAAACATCTGTGCACGCCTTCCTCTATTGTGTATGTGGGGTACCACCACAGCATGACTTGTTGAGTGGCGTAGGTCCATGCCTGGGATCCAAACGTGTGAACCTGGGCCAACAAAGCAAAGTGTGCTGAACTTGACCACTACGCTACTGGGCCAGCCCCAAAATTCACCTTGTAAAAATGTACTCAAAAGAAAACGTTTTACTATATTCACACGGTTGTAAAAATCAGTACCACTATGTAATTTCAAAACATTTTATCACCTTAGTAAGAAACCCTGGCCTTGTTAGCTGTCACTTCCTATCCCTCGTCCTCCCATACTAAACCACTAACCTGGCTTCTGTCTCCATGGATTTGCTGACTCTTGAAATTCAGTCTACATGGAATCATGCAGTATGTGTCCTTTTATGTCTAGCTCCTTTCACTTAGCATGAGGTTTTCAAAGTTCGTCCATGTGGTAGATAAGCACATCATTCTTTTACTTTACTTTGGAAAGTATACATGGCATTACATTTGCCATTTTAACCACTTTTCAGTGTACAGTTCTGTGACAGTAAGCACATTCACATTATTGTGCGACCATCAGCACCGTCCACTTCCAGGACTTTTTCATCTTCGACTGAAACTCTGTCCCATTAAACACTAACTCCCCATTCCCCTCTCCTCCCATTCCTGGCAGCCACCATTCTCCCTTCTGTCTCTGAATTTGACTTCTCTAGGACCCTCATAGTAGAGCAATCGTGCGAAATTTATACTTTCATGACTAGCTCATTTTACTTAGCGCAGTGTCCTCAAGGTCCTCCATGAGGAGTTGGTATCAAAATAGCCTTCAGTTTTATGTCTGCGTAATATTCCCTTATATCCATAAACGACATTTTCCTCATCCATCTGTTGATGGACATTTGGGTTGCTCTCAGTTTTTGGCTGTGACAAATGTGAACATTTGTGTACTAGTTTTTGTGTGAATGCATATTTCCATTCTCTTGGGTATATAGCTAAGGGCAGAAGTGCTGGGTCACACGGTAACTCCTACATTACATTTTATTCTGATGATGGTGGTTGCTGAGTGAGACTGATGGGATAAGATAATTGAGCAGCTTTCTGGAGGACGTGATTAACAGGGTGGGAAAGGATTCCGTAAGAAAACTGCAGAAGGATGTAGCGCTGAGACCAGCAACAATACATGTTAGCTACACTCAGGGACCTCACCATCTGTCTAGACAGTCATCCAACAATGAGCATGCCTAGAAACCTGAGAGGAGATTGTGTCACTGGTAACTGAAGGAATCAAAAACCATTTAGTAAAACAACCCAAATTTAGTACATTTCCCCAAGACCAAGTAAACTCTGTTTAGAAGAATGAACTTTCCACATTTTGGAAAACAGCTTCCACTTAACACACAGCAAATGTTCACATGCACAGATATTTTAAGAAATGGCCATTGAATCAGCAAGTTAAGATATACTTAAACAAACAAAATCCCCATCAGGAGCAAAAGATAAGCACTGTTAATCAGTGAATGTACAACTTTCTAGATCTTTTTCTGTCTATTGAAGTCTGATGATTTTTCAGTCATTTGATATTGAGATACACATATGTTCTTCAAATGGTATCATATTGCACCTATAGTTTTATAACCTGATTTTTCTACTGACAGTATTTCTGGAATGTTTTCCATGTTCACAATATTTTTCCTGACTTCACGTTTACTACATGGATATGTCGTAATGTGTTTAAGCAGTCAGTTTTTCTGGAATTGGAATATTGAGTACTTCCTGACCCAGTTCTATGTCTTTTCTAACCTGTTCAACCTCACCTGACCCCAAGGCCATGAGGTAAGGTGTGGCTGGATGGCGTGGCTCCTTTTCAGTCCTGGAAGGTGTGAATGGAGGGAGGAGGACCTGTTCAGGGCAGCGCTGACCAGCCTAGCCTCACGTGCAGAGCTGCTTCCCCAAAGTGGAGGACAGGCCAGAAAACTGTCTGCTGAATTGTTTGGGTTTCCTGGGGGTTAGGGAAAGAGTTTGGGTTTATCTACAATCCTTCTAATCTTTTCATATTGTTGTGTTTGTTTGGTTAGCGGTATTATGCAAAATGGAATGGAGGAGCCAAATGTTACTTCCTTTCATGGTAACCCTGAATTATGCTTGCTCTCATGGTCTCTTTTTCCTTACCCAGCTCTAGATTCCCTTTGTTCTTTCCCAGTAGAGGAATCCCAAGGAGGACTGATCAGTTTTGGCAGGTGCAAAACCATGGTATGTGTAAGTTAGTGTTTCCTTCTCGTTAAAATAGTGAGACGTAAATGTTTTCATTAATTGTTCTGAAGAGTCCTACCCAAAGAACCCCATGTGATTATGTGCTTCCCAGTTCCTCCCATTCCAGTGAACTGAACAATGGTTCCAAATAACCTAGTCCTCCTTATGTGGCCCAGTCTTTTCCAGCCAGTGTTTATGCATTCACTGACCAGGTTATTCTCTCCTACGTGCTCAACTTAGTCATATTAAGAGCTATAATGGAGGAATGAAGAAATTAAGTCCTGTCAAGAAATGATTTGAGCTTCCCGTGTCAGGACTGTAGTTGGATGAGAGATGGAGATCCCATCTGGCCAAGCAGGGAAAGACCCTGACATTCTCACAGACATGAGTTTTCTAGATACACATGATAAAACCCAGCAATGAACGGTCTCTGGAGGCTAAGATCCAATGCACTGTGAGGTTTTTGGAATTGAATAGCAATATGATTTAGGACTTGAAAATATATGGATCATGGTCCTTTGTAAGGGATTCCTGAATGAGAAATATGACTATTTTATTGCTGACTGGGTTGCGATGAAATTGAATGACTTTGATATAATTCTGGATCATCCTACATTAGTATCCTCTAACTCATGAACCAGAAAAGTTCTCAGTGAGGGATTGTTAGTGTCCATAAAAGAGAATAAAATCATAAGTCTTAAATTAACAGAGAGCAAGAATAGAAAAGACCTTAGATATGTTGTCTAACAATGTATATAATCATAATCATCTAAACATGTTTAATTCTATTATAACCATAAATTAGAGTGCTATGCAGCCATTCAAAATATTAGTCAAAATAAGGAAACTACATATGATAGCATTTAACAAAGAATTTCAGTATTTAAGATATTCTTTCGTTCTTTTTTATATGCTGTTTTTCTATCTGTTATGACAAACTCTAAGTTTCAATTGGAGAATTTTATCCTTTTACATTTAACGTAATTATTGACAGTTAGTTTAGGTCATCCATTTTACTGTATGTT